AGTCGAATATTAAGCACTTCAGTCATACGACATTTAGACCTTGAAGGAGTAAATATCACTCAAAATACCGTTGTGATCTGCTGCACTGTGAGCCCACAGTAGCTTCGCACGTCTCACCCAAAGGGGCAGTTTTAGAGTGGGAAAACCCAAGATCATTTGAGTGCTCAAGGTGCTCTAGATCAGGAGCGGTGACAGCAATGACAAGCTCTGAAATATTGCTGCTACTCTGCTATCGAAAATACTTTTGTTCGAGTTACATATATGCTCAATCTCAAAATATTCAAGAATTTTTCAATTCAGGAAGTTCCTTATAAATTTTGGACGAAAGGTTATCCGCAAAATTTATGTGCTGACAAACCGAGAACAACTGTGGCCATGGGGAAACATGGTTATCTTGATGTTCCCGCTATCGCCCGTCTTCCTGTTCTATGCGCTTTTGGTCAGAAATTTGATCAAACTGATCTTTGTACATCCCCTAAGATTCAAATAGCAACATTGAAAGTATGATGGAGGGTTCCATGAATCATGAGATCTTACTAAAGACACAAGCAAGATTGGACTTCCGCATGAATCACGCATGAGGACAACTTTTACTCTTAGTTAGTCATGGGAGTAGCTCGGGCTGTTATCAATTCTATAGCTCTTCTGTTTCCCCTACTATTGCGATGAGCTCGAAAAAAGCTGTTTTGCAATGGTTCAGAAAACAAGATTTACTCCCATGTCTGTCCTAAGTTACCCTTACGCTCCTCGGGAACATTCTCTTTCTCATTTTCTCTATGTATCTTCTATTGAAAGGAGTCTCACAGTTTCAAAGAAGCAGATAGGTCTCTGAAATGGTTGTACTTTCCTCATTCCCTACTAATATCGCTGTATTCTTCTATTATTCACCTTTAACTCAGCCATCTTCTCTTTTTCCAATATAATTTTTTGATATGCTTTGTTATCGGCAACAAGAAAATTCCAAGATGAACATGCTATTTCTTCCTCAATTCAGGAACCAATCGAAAAAAGGCAACAACCACTACTTCCACTACCACAACCATTAAAACTACTCCCACTACTGCTACTACTACAGCTACTCCTACGACAACAACTACCACAAGCCCAACCACGACTACAACGACAACGGCTCCGACCACCACTACAACGATAACGACTACCACTACCACAACTCCAACAACAACTACAGCTGCGACCAAATCTGAAAAAGCGGAGCCTACCGATCAAATGGGTACACCCACTACAACAATTGCAACATCTCCAACTACTGCTACTGCTACGACTACAACAACACCTACAACAACAACTATTACAATAACACCTACAACAACAACTACTACAACTACGCCTAAGACAACAACTACTACAACTACACCTACGACAACAACTACTACGACCACAACTCCGACGACAACCACTACAACAACGACATCAACCACCACAACTACCACAACTACCACAACAACTACAACTACAACTACAACAACCACAGCTCGCAGAAAGACAGACGACGATTGCGGTCGAGGAGCTCGTTATATCGAGGCGGATGATCGGTGTGAATGCAAAAATCCTGACACTGACGGCAAGAGATTGAATCCTGCCAAGTACAGTCACGTTCAGTATGTGAGTTTTGAGTGAACAAGATCTGAATTTGAACATTTTAAACATGGGCCGAGGTGGTCTAGCAACAAGTGGTGTTCTACTGCCTACACCAATTCCGCGGTCAAAGTCCCTGCTGCATTTCGTCGAGGCCGTCCATCAGTCCAGGGCCCGTTAGTTGGTGCCAGACACGTTTGATACGGCAAAAGCACTGACTTACGCATTGGTTAGCCACGGCCTCATTGTATAGGCCACACACGCATTGATTCCCATGATTCTGAATTCCGGATGTCAAATACTAGCCTTCATGATTACCCTTAACAAATACTATCAGCAATCTATCAGCACTATCAGCGCGTGAGCCGAGGAGAATTCGCAACTCGACCCGTCTGTGGCCCTAGTCGCAAAGAAGGACAAGGAATATGCATTGTGAGCCACCGTTGAGCAGAGTTGCGCCCCAGCTGTCGAATGCCTAACATTTCCCTGAGCTAGAGCATACCTCAGACCTCGGTCGTAGAACGTAGTGGAGTCATTCGATGTTGTTTCGCTTGGCACTGCATCTTGTTGTGGGCTTCATAGGAGAAAGGTCCGGTTCTAGAACAACATTCTGTAATGTACTGCAGGTATACTGGTGTCGTAACGTCAACGCAATTAGAAATGGAGGAGTTTTCGAATCTTGAATGAACAAACTCAGTACATTTGACTCACACGAAAAGTACCATGTGACGGTGGCTCCCTTATCTCAACACTCATGTCCAAGTGCCCAGTGTCGTTGTTAGTGCGAAGTGGTACGGTAACGCTACTTCAATCTCATTTGTCTTATTTCACGCTACAACAGCTCATCCACAAGCTGTTGAACGTGCAGTCGTCAGCAACATATTCAGAACAGCTACAAGTAACCACATGGGACGAGTTGATCGTCCAGGAGGGCGACGTTTAGCCTGTGAGATAGCTTCTTTGAGCGTCGTGGAAAGTGTCACATATTCGCAATCGTAGTAACAACATCAAGCAGGTGTTAGCTGTTAGTTTTAGCAGCTCTCAGTTCGAAACAGGCCCAACGATAAGCAGTGTATAGCATATGATTGTACTAGGGTGTCCCAAAAGTTTTGAGAAAATTTTGGTCATGAATTTCGCAACCATGTTGCGCAAGAAAGCGCCGAAGCAGAGCCACGGAAAAAAGGGCAGAAAAAGGGCACTCTTGGTAGATCGTCAAAAAAAANAAAAAAAATAGAACAATATTGCCTTTCATCCTTGGAAGTGAGTTAACATCATTTGAATCATGTCCGACCGGCACGACTAACGGCACCATCTGCTTCATTACTACCGATCTGGTCACTTCGCCACTCAAGCCCGGAATGAATTGCAGTTATCGATGGGCAGTACTGCACCTTCTCTCGCCACCTGCAATAGGAGGTACGGTCGCCTCTCTAGAGGAAAGATTCACATCGACGAAGCGCCACGGAGCGGACGTCCACGTTCCACCAAGACCGACATAGTCTTGGCCTCCGTCAAAAGCAATCCATCTCGAAGCTTGAGAGGAATGCAGAGGAGTTCCACCATCCACGACATCCTACGTAGACGTCGCTTTCGCGCAGGACTTCCTGCAGTTATCCCCCATACCTTGACTGAGAGTGAGCGTAAGGTGCGGGTCGAAAGCTACTCGGCCGCAATCGAACGGTGGTTTGGACGAGTTTCATTATAGCTTGTTGGATGACGTGCATAGCATCTCGAATCTCCTCTGAAGACGACGACGATCGTTTTACCTAGTGAATTTGTCAACCCATAATACCTCTTGCGGCGCATTAACACAATTATCGCATACTTAAGAGAGTTACGCAAACATCCTATTTGCATCTTTATGGCTACTTTTCAAGATGTATTTGGTCGAGGCACGGATGCACATATTATACCGTGTGCCATTGATATCACGGAAGCTACTCTCTAGACATTCTAAGAATTCTTCATCAATACACGAGGATATTTCGTGAATCTCATAGAAACTGCTAACATAAGTAAAAGTTTTCGCTTGAGTTCTTTGATTATCACGGTCTATTGATTCATAATGGATTGTATGTTCTTCCACTTGTGTCCAGAGTGAACACCGCAAGATAGTAGACCTACTAAAAGAGAAAAATAAAAAAAGAACAGAATGACATAGTTGTCGAATAGACGATAAACACTTGTAGAGTAGAGACGAGGCGGCCACTGCTGCAGACGTAGGACAACAGGAGTCTGGCGGGAACGACTG